GTAAGATATCATCTACATACAGGATAAGGAAGATAAACTTCCCATTCTTAAACTTTGTATTGACACAATTGTCATCTACATTCTCTTTACTTTGTATAGACACAATTGTCCTCTACATTCTCTTTAAAACCCAAAATTCTTTATTGTCTGATCAAACTTCAAGTACCATTGTCTTAAAGCTTGTTTTAATCCATAAATAAATTTCTTTAGGCGACATCATATTCGTTCTTTTCCTTCCATGACAAAACCTTTCGGTTGTGCCATGTAAACATTTTCCTTCAAGTCTCTATTGAGAAATGCCGTCTTTACATCCATATGATGTAATTCTTAATCGTAATGTGCCACTAATGCCATTAAGATTCTAAAGGTAACTTTACATGAGACTAGAGAAAAGGTCTCATTGTAATCAATCCCTTCTCTTTGCATAAAGCCTTTTGCCACAAGTCACACTTTATATCTCTCTATATTCCCTTGAGAGTCAAGTTTTGTTTTGTAGACCCACTTACAGCCTACTATTTTGGCTCCTTTAGGAATTATTTCCAAGTCCCAAACTATATTGGCATTCATTGATTTTATTTCATCTTCCATGGCCTCAAGCCACTTTGATGAATGATTACTTTTCGTGGCTTATTCAAATGAGGTGGAATCATCCTCCATTTGAAATTCTTTAGTGTTGTACACTTCATAATCAGCACGAATAGCTGATTTTCTAACTCTTTGAGACCTACTAGGAGCCTTCACATTTGGCACATCTTCTATTTGAGGTTGTTGTTGCTCCCCTCATGTGTGGCAATAGGTTCTATAGAATCCTAAAGAATAGGTTCCTCATCGTCATTCATTGTTGCCACAGGTGGGATAACAACAGGTGCTGGCACCACAGTATCTAGCACTGTCGGTGCAGCGACAGCAGGTAGTGAGAAAATTGGCTTATGAATCATTAGAGTGGGTGCATACACCCGCTTCACTTCAAGGTCAATTTCTTGAGCTACCATGCTCCCCCTCATCAATTTATCCTCTAGGAAGACAGCGTGTCTCATTTTCACTAACTTTGTATGTCTCTCTGGACAGTAGAAAACGAAAACCTTTTGACTTTTCTGGGTAGCCAAAGAAATAGCACCTTACTGTTTTGGGATCTAACTTCCCAATGTTTAGGTTAAATACTTTAGCCTCAGCAGGGCTCCCCCACACACACGCAAGTGGTTTAGTGAGGGTACTCTTTCTGTCTCACAACTCATACGGTGTTTTGGGCACCGACTTTCTTGATACTCTATTGAGAATATGAATGGCGGTTTTAACGCCTCCATCCACAGGCTCAACTGTAAGGTGGAGTAACTTATCATACTGCCCACCATATCCATCAGGGTGCGATTGATTCTTTTAGCTACTCTATTCTGCTAAGGTTCGCCCAGTGTAGAATACTGGGCTACTATGTCATTTTTTTAGGGTATGCCGACCGTAGTACTCCCCCATGGTCAGACCTGACTATCTTAATCTTTAATATCTTAAATTTATCCAATGCTTCTGTTCTTTCTTTGATTGATAAATTTAGCCATAGTGGGAGTAATCATTTGTGAATGTTATAAACGAATCATAACCATCCACACTCTTTACAGGAAGGCTGACCACAGATGTCTGTGTGAATAATCTATAGAATTCCTGCGTTTCGTTTGTCATCTTTCTTAATCTTCTTTACATACTTTCCTTTTATGCATTCCCTGCATTGTTCTTAATCTGAGAGCTCTAATGGAGGAAGAATATCATTCTTAACTTGTCTTTCTATTCTCTCCCTCAAAATATGGCCTGAACGATAGTGCCATAATTTCGATGACGCATCGTGAGCTCTCTTGTGCCACCATTTCCAGATTAACACTCTGTGACCAGCTGTTTTATCAGCTAAGTGACATATGTTTTTGAAGAGCCAGTGAACTGACTCTTTATTCTATCGAGGTACTCGATGACTGTGTCACACTCTAGGATTGAGCCCACAATTGCAGGTTCAATCATGTTCTTTATCACAGCCAAATATTTTTTGTTGACAGTGACCCACTTTCTATGCTCAAAAGTCATACGACATCTTTTGGGATTCAAAATCCCTTTCTTTAGTTGCCTAATCGGCATCATTCTCTTTTGTCTCCCTCACCGGTGCCACAGAATCAGTAGAACACGGTGAGGTGACTACTCAATCCACCTTAGACAAGATGAAAACCAGGTCAAAACTTTTCTTAACATAAAAATAACACCATTTGCATGACTTGATTCCAACGTTGTTCAAAATCAAAACATACAACTATTCTTATACACTAATTTTATATCACCGTTGGGCAGAAATAGAATTAATGCATAAATCTTTAATGTTCACAACTGTTCTTACACACTAATGCTACATCACCGTTGGGCATAAGTAGAATTAATGCATAAATCATTAAAATTAACATCTGTTCTTATACACTAATTCTACATCACCGTTGGGCAGAAATAGAATTAATGCATAAATCATTAAAATTATCAACTTTTATTATACACTAATTCTACATCACCGTTGGGCAGAAGTAGAATTAATGCATAAATCATTAAAATTATGATATTGTTATTAACAACGTTGGTCAGAAAATAACAACATCATAATCATGTCAAATCTCTTTTTCTCCAATTAAATACCACATTGGTTCAAAATAACTGGAGAATCAACAATTTCTTTAGCAGCGGAAAAACTTTCTTTTTCTCCAATTAAATACCACGTTGGTACAAATTAACCGAAGAATAAACAATTTCTCTAGCTATGGAAAAACTTCTCATTTTCTTGAATTTTACCCACAGGGAAAAATTGTATTTTCTATTTTCTTTAATCCATTAATCAATTTCCAGGAAATAAACATTTACTGAAAAACTTTTCTTTTCTCCAGTTAAATATCATGTCGGTTCAAAATCACTGGAGAATATACTTTTCCTTTAGCAGCGGAAAACGTATGCGAATTTTACCCACAGGGAAAAATTACTTTTTCTATTTTCCTTTTGAGTCATTTATTCATTTTCCAGAAAATAAAATTTTTACCGGAAAATGAAAAAACAAAACTGATTCAAATTCTCACTTTTCTTTGATCTTGGGCTCAATCGCATGTTGTTGGCCCAAAACCGCAAAAAAACTAGCTCCCACTCACACACAGCGCTACGCCGCACCAGCCGCAACCTGGGCTCGGGGGGTACAATGTCACACGGCAAGGCTTCGCCACTTTGGGCAGCTGGGTTGGCCCATCCAATCTCGACCATCCGTCTTGATCCGACGGCCGAGCGCGCATCTCGCTGAGTATAAAACCGCGACGCCGCGCGCCCCAAGCAAACCCTAGGTCATTTTCATTCGGTCTCTCTCTCTCTTCGCCTCACTGCTCTCTCTTCTCTCTACCTTGCTCTCTCTTCTCAGCCGAGCACAACCGAGCGAACGAGAGCGAGAGGAGGCGTCCATGGCACCGCCACCGACCCCTCACGCCGGCGTGCGCGCTCCCCAGCGGGTGAGCGCGTCGCCGTCGAGCGGCCTGGCCACGGTGACCCCTTTGCCGAGCCCGGCTCGGTCTTCTTCTCCCGCGCCGGCGAAGGGCCGGCTCGGCTCTTCTTCTCCCTCGCCGGCGAAGGGACATCCCGACGCACGGCGAGGTAGATCCATTCTTTTTCTTTCTTTTTTTCCTTTCAAATTTGATTTGTATCTTCTTTCTTTTCTTTTCGCTTGTTCACCCGAAAAGGAGATCTAGGGTTAGGGTTCGGTTGAAGCCGATCCGTGTTTTTTTTGTTTGATTCGAGATCGAGATGCTAGGGTTCTTCCTTGAGACTGATTTCTTCCCCTTCTTCCCCTTTTTCCCTTCTTCTTTTGGGATTAACCCGATTCGGGGTATTAGGGTTAGGGTTTCATTTTCTTTTGATTTCTTTTCCTTTTCGGAGTTCATCCGAATCTCTTCCCTTCTTCCCCTTTTTCTTTCTCCGATTTGGATTGATCTCTGTTTTCCGAACCGAAGGTGGGGATTAGGGTTAGGATTAGGGTTCGTGTGCCGACCCCTGTTCTTTTCTTTTCTTCCTTTCTTTTCTTTGATTTCTTCTCTTTTGGATTAAGATCGAGATGGGGATACTTTCTAGGTATTGTTTCTCTTCCCCGTTGAAGGCTTTTACTTGTTTAGGGTTCGTGAACCCGTTCGGTTCTTTTCTCTTCTTCTTCCCCGAGCTTTCTGCGTGGGGTTAGGGTTAGGGTTCTTGAGATCATTTTCCTCTTTCTTTACTTCTTCTCTATCCGAACACGGATCTGTTCTTTCTTGTCGTGTCAGTGCGGCACTTTTCCCGCGCGGTGGCGGTGGCGACCGATAGACAGTGACTTCCGCCACCCCGGTTCCTTTTCTTTGCTTTTACCCGGTTAGGGTTAGGATTACACAGAGGCAACCTGGCTCTGGTACCATTGTTAGGATCGTAGGATTGGTACCTCTATGTGTAACCCGTAGATCCGCCCTGGACAATAGCGTTGTGACCTCGCGGACACCGGTGTCGAGGCAGCTCCGGCTCGGTGGCGAAGTACAGTGGTGGTCCAGAGAGGCCGGTGTAGACCTGCAGGGGGAGCGACGGCGGTGGTGGGGCACATCCCGTCGCTGGCAGCACTCTTTAGGATCGGATTAGGGTTTTTTTAGGTGGGTGTGGCGGCTCTAGTCAAACCTCGTCCTCTGAGCCTAGTTCCCCACTCCACTATATATATATATGTACTGTGCGACATGGGTCCATCAACCAGTAGAGTTAGGCTCCCCCGATCAAGGAGCATAGACATGGGTCCAATAGGTCATTCGACCTGTTGATGGAGATCAACTAACACGTCCTTCTGGCGCCTCCTCGGCCGCAACACCGCCAGGTTCAAGCCCGGCCACGGGAACCTTACCGGCGGTCAGTTCGTGCATTTGCCTTACCCCTCTCACATCATTGGCTGACGGTTTCACGATTTTGTTTTTGATGGTGCTGATGCTATTTGTTTGCAGCCACCACGTGGCCCCTCCTCGCCCTGGCGCTCATCAACTGCGTCAAGGAGGACATCTCGGGTAAGAAGCGCGGTGCCACCAAGAGCGCTGCCGCCCGGATGTTCCGCGTTGCTGTCCAGTGCGCGGAGGACGTCAAACTATCAGGTTGGCTCTGATTCGAAGGGCTTCTCGTGTATTGATAAGTTTGCTGTTGTCTTCTGTGCTATGCTGTGCTGTACTGTGATTGATTGAACTTCCACCGGCACAACTTGTGATGAGAATCTGAGATGTATGTATCTGAGTACTGTAGAGACGAGGTGATGGTTTTATATATGGTTTGCTTGTGATTTTCATTTCCCTGCAACAAAACATGGAAGTAAGGTGGAATGCTGCTATCGTTCAAGAAGTTCAGATAAAAATTGTTTCTGGACCATGCTAGAGTGTCAGATACTCAGATGTTTTTGTTTTTACCATGTTATGCATAAATTTTAGAATTGGGCAGGTTGCCAATAACATTTCATGCAATTTTCACGCAGAGAGTGCAGTATTCTTTAGACAGTGTGTCCTGTAACATTACCCGTTGTGTTCTTAGTGTTCTTATTAATAACAGATTTTGTAGTAGGTTGCTAGTTGTTAATACATTCTGATATTTATTTTGTTCACATCTGCTTGCTCATGTGAATTTTCAAATAGCATGTAGCTTTAACTTGTTTTATCATCTAACAGTAGAGTTGATTTTTGCGCAAATGACAAGTGATTTTGACAGTATTGAATTCTGTATAGTATTTGATGGAGTTGCCTTGAGATGACCCAATGCATATTTTTGCTAACACTGATCATTGCCTGGTCTTATAATGATGGTAATTTTCATAGTCTTTGGCATTTGTTGGGTTTGCGTGATTCAGCATTCTGGTGTATATTCCCACTATCTAGCAATATGTTTCTTTTTTACCCAGATGCCTGATGTGTGCACAATCAGTTTTTCAGTTGCTTTGAAGTGAAATATACTCTGCATGGCATTACAGAAGTGTGGTACCTGTCTTTGCAGGGCATTCGCTACTTTTGTTCTCAGTTGCTAAGCAACTTTTCATTCATATATGGGAGGTCATAAAAGATGGCCCCAACTTTCAGTTAGAATACAGCATAATTCTTAGACAGCTTCTAAATGTGAAGGAGTACCGCTATCAGATGAAACCTCGAATATATAGCAGTGAGTTTTGTTATCAGAGGTGCTGTTTTATCATATTGTAGCACCCATTTATTTATATTTCCATGCATTATCCTCAGATTTTGTATCACTCTACATGAAGAAGGTTGCTACTGGTTTTGATGCAAAATTCAGCAATCAGGCGAGCTCCAAGGATGAATCCTTCCGCTGTACATTGACACTTCACGTTCTACTTGAAAACCCACCGGGTGATTACCCCGACATTATGCGGGAGGAGGTTCTTAACGGATTTAGTGCAATCTTCTTACATATTAGGCAAGTAGTGTGGCCCATGTTCTTTTCTCTCTTTTAGATCCCTTGACTTTATTGTCTCCTTTTAACTTCACTCAGTTGTGAATTCCCATCTCTGTCGAAAGTAGGTTTTTGTTTTAGAACGGGTGCAGTCTAACTTTCAGAACTTTGGCCACCATTTTATTTAAAATCATTTGGATTTGCCAATGAGAATTAGATTAACAACTTCATCATAAAAAGTTATTTAAATTATAATATTTTATTTAAGTTCCTGTTGATATGTATATATATCTAGAAAAGGTTATAGTCAAAGATATGCATTGGAGACTGGTCATCTAATGGCAAATAATCCGACATGGATTGATAAATTGATTCTGTGAAATCAGGGAGGAGGGAAAGCTGACTCGCAAACTTATGGAATGCATTAACACCTTTTTACTAAAGGATGGGCCAAACCTGGGATACAAATCTGTGAAGATCCATAATGCAGTTCAAGAGTTTATATTCCGTTGTTGGCTGGCAACTCATGATCAGGCCTTGAAGGTTCTGGTGACCTGACTTGCAGTTTTGTAACTTTATTTCTTTGTTTTTACAAAAACTTCATTGCATTTTCTGCTTCATCTTTGAAAGCCGTTTTTGCTTCCAGAGCTTGTTCATAACCTATGCGAAAGTTCAGCTGAAGATTGCCAGGAATATTCCAGAGATTTTGGAAAAACTTGTTGACGTCATCATTAAGGAACTAGACAAAAATGTTAACACCGGACCTGGTGTTCTATGGTAATGCAACTGTTGTTATTTAAAGTATTTTATGTTTTTGAGTTCTTAATTGATGAAATTCAATCACTGCAGGTGTGAGGCACCACGAGATGAGAAAGCTGTGTCCTTAAGGTGCTTCCAAGAGGAATGGATGGATCTCTCTGCTACTGTTTTCTGTTTTTTATCTGGTATTTGGATCCACCACCCAACTCATATTACACAGCGCGCCCCCCCCCCCCAAAAAAAAAAAGTCGGCACAGCCAGTCAGCCATGCAAGCACTCACTAATTAGATTTGCGGATCTTTTACTCAATACAATATATCCTTGCTCGGTTACAAATAACTTTACAAACATTTAGGCCTGCAGATGCACAACGAAGACAGCAAACAGGGAGAAAAGGCTGAAGACAGAACACATTATGAACCTTATCGTTGATGGCCTTTTTAGAGGATCTTTGTTTTGGTAAGTTAATTATACATCATGCACACCCTTTCAACTGGAAACTGGTCATCTATGACAACTCTACACTTGTCCCAGGTTTGAAACCCTCTTCTGAGTTATGACTGATAAGTACATTGACCCAAGAGTCACCTGTTATTAATCTGTATCCTGTTTCCTGTACTTCTCAATGCCTTTAAATGTTGCTTCCTAGTTTGTGTGGTGACTGGTGACTATAGCTTCTTCTGACTAGAGTATGCAGTTTTCTCACATGTATCTGTATAAGCCAAATGTGATATTACTCCCTCAGGAAGCTCATGCCAGTCTCTTAAAAAAAAAATCTTCTGTCTTTTGTAAAGTCTTAATATTTCCATGTGTTACTGCCCGAACCCCCCTGACCTAAATCTTGGGCGCTATTATGCTCTAATACATGTTAGGAGCCTGATATTCAGTATTTGGGGTATCTTTCATCGTCCCATTTACACCCTTGCATCTAATCTGCTGTCTCTTGGTCGGTCCATTTCTTCTATTATTACTTTGATTCGCTGACCCCACAATCGATAACTTTGCTGTTACATTGATATTTTATCTAGTAGAACTTATTATCAATAACATTCTTTGTGCAGAAGTAGTGAGAGTTCACAACTCTTCCATTTTATGCACACGTTATTAGCTTCTCTTTACATATATCTTTTCTCCCACGGAGCGGTTCCGTTTGTTTTCTGATTCACAAGTATGGATACCATATGGACAAATCTTTGCTAATTAGTTGGTTTGAAGCAAGTTGCAAAGCTTTGAGAAGGTAGTTCTACTTTCATAGTTTTTTTGTGTGATGATATCCTAAAGCTGGTAAATTGAATGCCTAATTTGGTTCCCGCTGTCTGATGTCTCCTTGTCCAATACTTCTGTTATTACATTTTGTGGTTTTCAGAAATATAGTGTACACAATACGCATTTAGCTTGTGTCCCTTATTTACGTTCAATAACCATTTGTACCTCAACTTTTGGAATACATAGTTAATTGCTGGTCATATGGCAATAAGGTAAAGCAAATCACATGGTGGATATCAGTACTACAATGGTAGAGAGAAAAATATATCAACATATAGTTATATAAACGAGGTTTATATAAATTGAAGCGTGTGCATGCTATTTTTCTTCTCTATTATAAAGTGGGAGGAATGATTATGCTTGCGACCTTGCGTTACTTCTGCTCAACACAGATGAAACATGCTAACTGAACCAACATTTTTAAATTTGAAACTAAAGAATGAATAACATTAGATGTCTCGAAAATTCGAACTTTTACATGTTTTCATTTATTACTTCTGCCTCTGTCCACTAATATAAGGACTTGGGTTCAAATTTTGTCCGCAAGTGCAAATATAAGGATTTCCGAGTGTCTATTCAAGAGCTAGCCAATCACAATCAGACCTGACCATAAATTGACCCGGGTGCTTTAATGATGGGCATGAAAGACTTTTCCTACCTGCCTCCCCCCCTCAAAAATCGCAGAAGTCCGAGTCCTTATATTTGTTATTCAGGGGGTGGGGTGGGGGGCGGTAGGTTCCTAGAAGTTGCTCATTTTACTCGTTTTCTTTCTTTATGGTGAAAAGTTCTCTATGATTTGGCTTGTAGTACTTCTGTGATGCAATATATATGATTCATTGACTGCTACTATGTTCACACAGTATCTTGAGCCATGCAAATGCCATACGATTTCAGGATTCACTACTCTGGCTTCTCAGGTTTGTTTGGTTCTACCAGTAGTACATTTTGCCCCTTCTATTGTTTTCTTTCTTCTCTCTCTGGGGTGGGTAGGGGTGTGGTGGTGGTGTTTATTTATGGCTTATAGCATCTGATACCATTTTATTTTGTTCAATGGACATGGTTATCACAATTTACTGTTTATTTGAAGTGTAAATGGCCACCAAGTAAAATGATATGGAGCTAACAATTACCCACTGCTGCAAAAAAAAAAAATAACTTTTTTGTCCTATCAATAATAGTTGCTAATTTGGCATTGTTCTTAACAGGACATTCATGGAGTTCTCCACAGTGCTCATGTTTAACACTAGGGAGAAAGTACAATTTTGTTTAACAAAAGGCGAGGTTAAGTTTTCAAATCCATATTTTTATTTTCACGAACTTCAGGCTATTTTCTGCTTACCTTTTTTTTCTCAAGTAAACCATTAATCAACTGGCTTCAGGATACAGAAGATTTGTATCTGTGTTATGCCCTCCCTTAATCACTTAATAAAATTACTATATGCACACTGTAGAAAAGTTTGGGCCCATTTTTTTTACATTTTGTAAATTTCCAGAAAGATTGAGAGCATTCAGAAATTGCCAAAGTGGTAATTTTCTGGGAATACCCTTCAAGTGATAACACAACCGCACACAACTTTATGAGGTTGATGTGGCATTTGCCCATTGTGAAGTTTTATTTTATTTCTAGATGTGTAATGAAAACTTCCAACTATCAGTTCTCGAAAGGACCAATGATTATATTAGAGGTGCTACTTTTGAAGTTTAAGTGATTGTCTGATACATTTTGAGTCACATGCACCAACCAGCTCACACACACTACAGCTATCTATGTATCCCATTGCCTTTTGATTCTAGATCTAGCTAAAAGAACGATTTTGGTTGCTTGGCACCACACCATCAAGAATATGGAGAATTTGGAAGGAACCTATTATTCTTGGACAGTCAACAGACATAACTTTAGTCTGTATATACATGTCATGAATGGGGCTAGTCCTTTATTATATAACACTTCTTTCCAGCAACTTCATTTTAAATTTTGGACAACCATAGTGGCTCTAGTTTAACATAATTACTCATAGAAACAACTTGTTTCCTGCTCTTCTTTGACTGTTTTCTATATTTTGGGTGCACTCAGTATTGCAGCCACATCAAGCAGTACTGAGCAGGCTGTTTGCTTATAGTTTTCAGCATGTCGAATCATGACATTATGTTTTATGACACCTCCATTCTTTTCCCAACCAAGTCTTGCCATTTTTGTAATCCATTGTGAACTTAAAGTTGATGATGTCGTCCAATAAGTTACCTGTTTATTGCAGATGTCAATTGTTGAAAATTGTTGGCAAGCCGTATGGAATTCCCTTGTTCCACTTCCATGGTTAAGCAACATAGATCTAGTTGTGAGCACCAATAAACTACACTATATGACCTTTTTCGTATGTTGTTGCATTGCTTCTTTTTCTGCTGTATCATTACTTGTTCTAATGAAATGGTATCCAACTATTTGTTGGATAGTGTTTCTTGAATAATAATGAAACACTTATAAATTAAATTGGCCATTAAACAAAAGAGTTATCGTGCTGTATTTACAGCTTCCAGTATCCACATTTTTCAGGATTTTAGTCTCTCAAATGGAATGATGTCTTTGCCAGTTATTCTGTACTAATTGCTTATATTATGCTTATGGTATCTTATGAACTAGTGAAATATCACAATAATTGCTATAATACAATTAAAATTTTCACTGGATCTGTGTTTTATAGATTGGAATTCAGAACTTTATTCAACTTTATTCTGAAAATTTGGCAACACTTCTATCACTGTAAACTTCATCTGGAGCTGCGATCTCAACCTGATTTATCTGGGCATGTTCGCTTGAACTTATCAGCCAGCTTATCAGCTAGAATCTACAGTATTTTTCTCACAATAAAACAGCTTCAGCCGGCTTTAATACCTATGTCCCATAATATTGTTTATTTTGGAAGGACAAGTCAGGACCGCAATTGTTATCTTAGTACCATAATCATTTTATCTTCTTATAAGTGCTTATTTGACATGACATTTGACAAGTTAGATGATTTGAAAAGTGTTTATATACCATCTTGCAAACATAATTCTTAACTCATTACATTATGTGGCACCTATCTAGTACCCTTTGATTGTGTAACGGTGTGCACTTTTGTAGGCTTATTCAGCTCTGATTTTGCTGGGTGGAATGATCGTGCGGGTGAGCTTCCCACCCTCAGTTTAGTCAGTTGCCAACTTATCATCCAGGATGAGCTCTAACTATTCCTACAAGTAACTTATAGCTACCACTAGGTGTTTCTAATGTTTTCTTTTTTCTCTTCTTCCAGAACCAAGTTCATACACCATTTCTATCAGAAGATACATGGAACCTGCAAATATTTAAACAATTTCCGCCGTATGCTTTCTTCCTCTTCTTTTTGTAATTGTTGGTTTAAAAAGTGACCCTGTTTCTACAATAGCTCTATTTTAGGTACTATTTTTGTTGTGTAAGTGTTGAAGGAACAGCTTCAACGTGTTAGTAGATAACGCCCTAAGGGCAGTCCGAATCCACGGACAACAATCCGAATCCACGGGTAATACGAGCTCAATCCAAAGCTCAAGAACAAGCTTCTGGGGGAGATGCAGGGCCTTTTGGCAAAAATTGACAGGATGCTTACTAGGCCTCCTGCTAATGCTCCTTAGCTTTGCCAACCTGAAGGACCTATTGGTTGTTAGACAACTTTGGTGGCAGTTCTGTTAGTTGTAGCTTCCGCATCTAAGTTTATGACGAACTATATCGTTCGAACATTTCAGCAGCTGCGATTTGGAACTCCTGTGAATGGTGGCACTTATTGTGTCATTGCTTCGTGTACTATATATGCCAATAAGATCGCAGCTTCTTTTAGTGTCCTGATTTTGTGTTATGTTAATAGTATGTCATTGCCATTTATCAGAGCTGTTGGAGTTTGCATCGGAATCGTAAAGTGCACTTGTGCTATACAGCTATAGTGCTTGAACCATTGCAGTCGTTGGTCTCGGTGGATTGTTTGAATGTGACGCTAGTGTCCATTGAAGTACTAGCAGCTGTATGAACGGCTGATATGAACGGAAAATCACCCTTTTCGTCAATGCTTGTGTTGATTAATACTCCACGTAGTATTTTCATCGTCTTGCAGAGTAATTTATACGGAGTACTGTGCAGGTTACTCTGGGAGCCCAAATCCTTCGGGAGTTCCGCGCGAATTCCCTGGGCCAATCACCCCCGGACCAAATTTTTGTGCTGGTTGGAAGCCCACCAACCCGAGGATAGTAGCCCGCTTCCCTTCGTTTTGAGGCTTTTATAAACATGATATTAAAAAAGTTTGTAATTATATATAAGTCATTAAAAAATTGACCGCACACGAGTGCCATCGTTCTGAACTTCTTTACTCTCTAAGTCATTCCGTCGGTGTTCTATTCGTTTTTCACCGTTTGGGAGTCCTGGGTCAGATCAGTCAAAACGTCCATAATACCCCTCTTATCCCTATCCTCTCTCTCTCAAACTCGATCTCTCTTCTCGTATATATATGCCATGCGCAAGGGTCGGGCTAGGCTAGGGCGGCACATGGCGGCAAGCAGCGCGCCGAGGCGGTCACCATGGCCATGAGCTCATGCTGCTAGCTCGATGAGGTGGCGCCAGGGTCGGAGTGGAGCTGCCCCATGCGGCTGCCCCGAGGATGGCAGCGCCGAGCGGCCACCATCAAGCAGCACCGCCATCTCCTTTTTCTTGGCAGCGGGGCGTGGGGGCGCCGCACCTTCTAAGTGGCGCGGAGAGCTGCGGCAAGACAAAGGCGGGCGGGCACGCCCACGGCCACGAGCACGAGCGCTGACGGAGGGGATGGTGGCCGCGAGCTCGAGCGCGAGCTCCACCGAGCGGGGCTCTGCCGGCCGCAAGCGCGAGGGGAAGCCGGGCGTGGACGAGGACGCCGTTGCCGGAGGGGATGGCGGCCACGAGCGCGAGCGCGAGGCTAGGCGTGGACGGCGCCGCCGCCGCCGGAGGGGATAGGCGACCGCGAGCGCGAGGCCGGGCGTGGACGCCGCCGCCGCTGACGGAGGGGATGGCGGCCACGAGCTCGAGCGCGAGCTCCGCTGACCGCGGGCGCGAGCTCCATCGAGCGGGGCTCTGCCGGCTGCAAGCGCGAGCGCGAGCTCCGCCGGGCACGGACGCGAGCGCGAGCGTGAGCTCTGCCGGGCGCGGGTGGGAGCTCCGCCGACCTCGGACGCGAGCGCGAATGGTGTGGACTAAAGAAGCAAAAGGATAAGACGAGAGAAGGGTATTTTGGACCTTTATATTGACCGGGCCCACGTATAACGGTGAAAAACGAACAGAACATCGACGGAAATGGCTTGGAGAGCAAAGAAGTTCAGAACGATGGTACTCGTGTACGGTCAATTTTTTTAATGATTTATGCGTAATTACTAAAGATGGCAACGGCCCCCGATACCCGATACCCGACGGGTATTTGATCCATTAGGGAACGAGGATGGGATCATATCTTTACCCGCGGGCATATAAATGGGCAAGAATCCATCTCCGATGGGTATAGCGGGTACGGGAACGTTCCTTGTTTACCCGTCCCCGTTACCCGTTGGGTAACCCGACTATTTGACCTGTCATGCGAGTATTAGGCCCAAAGAAGCTCAACATAGATATTTTGGCCCAAATCTGAACAATCATATATATAGTTTGTGTGTTCTAGAAACCCTTGTTTAATTTTTTCTCACCATCTCCGCCAGCAGCACAAGCACGCCTGCCTTACGAGCGCTCGTGCCCGTCGCTTCCTCAGTTCGGTCTCTATGTCACCTTTGCTCGTCCTCCTCGCAACCTCGCTCCTTCTCCTCAGCATCTCTAAGACTCCGACACTTATACCCCGGTGAAGAAGAAACATCTCCGATTGTAAAGCTGCGACCCCAAGTATCCTTGTTTATCGGATATGCAGTACCCGTTGAGTATCTGTTACCTGACCAATGTTCGACGGGTACGGAGATGGACAAAAATCTATACTCGAGACAGTTAACGGAAACAGGGACATAATGAATTTTCCGTTGTGGGGAAGAGAACGTCCCGGCGATACCCGACAGTTACATCCCGTTGCCATCTAATTACAGACTTTTTTACACGAGAAAAGCCTCCTTCGTTTTCCACGCGGAAGGAATCCGATCGATGAGGCCGGGAGGGTTTCTCGTCGCATCCGCTTGCCAGTCGCGCGACCGCTCGAGCAGCTCTTCCTCCGCTCGCGCAGCTCAAGTCGCGAGGCCGCCGCCCGGCCGGCATCCCGTCACCGTCGCCGCCGCCCCTGCGCCTTCTCGTCGCTTCGGCTCACGCCAACGGTGAGCCCGCCACAACCTACATCTCTGTGCCTCCCGCTAGGGTTTCGGGTTTCTTAATCCTCTCTTCTCACAGACTGTTTCCGTAGATCCTGGGGCTGCCGCCGCCACCTCGACGCCCGGCTGCCTGTGCTTGATCCAGTGCCAACGCCGCCCGCCGACCTGACCGCGCCGGCTCGATCTCCACCACTGCTCCGTGACTGCCCCCCGCCTGGCCGCCTTGCCTCGTCCCAAGATCCGGTGAGCCCTTCCTCTCTCCTCCCCAGATCGAGCTCCTACGACTTGGATGTGTAACTTCTACTCATTGGATGTGCTTGTAGTAGCATACTGAGAATAGCATGTTTTGTCTGATGGTTAAAGAACCGCCTTTATGCTATGCTGAATTTATTTAACCTGCAGTGCCTTTATGCATGAGGTTTATTTAGCGTCTGTCAGAGAGCGATTTCTCCTGCTTTAATTAGCTCAATAGACTTTGCTGTTTGTTCCAAGTCAGTTCGGCTGCTCTCAACTCTGATGGTCACATGTTTGAGTCAGCCAGTTAGCTTGGAATTTTCAGTGTGCCTCACAATCACAAGGTCTAGTACACAAGATGCTGCTTATTAGAGTTACTGAAAATTAAAGAACCGCAGAACATTTGGATTCACTAGCTAGCATTCTCCAGATAGAACATTTGCATCCATCAGAATATCATATCATGCGAAACACCACAAATAGCTTAGTTGAGACCTTAGTTATCATGTATTTATTTTCTCCTCTACTTTTCTTTTTAGGGATTTTACGGTACCCTATACTACTGGTATGAGGATTCTAGTATGCATGTATGCGCCTGTACTGTCTATAGCTGCATGGCTGTTTGCTGTTGCACACAGCCATTCAAAACTGTGAGTAATTCTGAAGTTTTTTTTTCAGTTAGGGAATAGGGATTGGCGATGACTACCAATGCTAGCAATTCTGTATTTCTTGGTCTATTAACTGTAAAACAGTGACTAGTTAGTTGTTCGACAACCCCCAAAATATTTTGTTTTCATGTACTTGAGTACTACTTGTCTATTGACACAACAAGAACGGCTATATGCAACACCTTTGTTGTCTATTGACACAGCAAGAACGTCTATATGCAGTCCCGTTCTGTCGGTGTACGACGGCTGATGGTCGACTCCCTGCAGATCCAGCAAAGGCAACACTGAGCAGCCCCTCTGACTTCGACTGGCTTGCGACCTGTGGATCTGTGCCAGCCCGTTGATTGAGCTACCTGCTCCAGCCCGAGTAGCCTGTGTTGAAGGTATGGTTGGCTGAAACTTATGAAAAAGCTAGCTAAGGAAACAGGGCCAAAGTGAGCTCCAGAAAACAAAAAGAAAGGAGCGACATGGAGAAAGGTGACGTGCGGGTGGACCTCGACAAGCTCCCCATCAAGCGCCTTGAGGCCATTGACGAGATTGGCAACGAGCACTACCCACCGTAAGTTTGCTGACAACCCGTAGTCTGTTCCTCTCAAATTCACCAGGAACTCACGCGCTTTTCCTTTCCTCTGCTTGCGGGGCGGTGTCTGCGGTTGTAGGGACACTAGCAACGAGGAGCAGCGACTTGCAGCCATCCGCCGGATTGACTTCTCCTGGGTCATAGAGAAGGATGCAAAGAAGGCCAAGAAGGCGGCTGAGGCTGACACTACCCAGCAGGCATGGCCCTGGCAGGGCCTTATGGAGAGCCTGCAGCAGGCACATCAGGAGCTCTCCGTCGTCTTAGACCTCATCGGCACGGTTGGTAAATGCAGATGTGCACCCAATTTCAGTCCCTGCTAGTGCAATGCTGGCGATCACTTATGATTATGTTGAAAATTATGCCTCAGGTGGAGGCTAATGACGCTGTGGCCGTCGCCTCGACAACGAAGCCCAAGTCGCAGCCAAATGAAATACTTGTTGACATGGCAGTCTCTGCTGCCACCAAGCTCCAGCGCCTTAGGGTATGTTCCGTACCACTGGCTACCATGTGTAATTAGATAGCATTTTCAAATCAATGGAGTGGATGCATGGAGCTCTTTAGACTAGTGCAACAAAGAAAACCAGAGCTGAAAGTAACTGTAAAAAAGAATGCTTCTGTAATTGATATTTCAAGCTCTGCTGTTTATTATTGTGCTTACTGCCGTAATATTCATTTGTGCCTTTTGGGATCTCTCAGCATTTGTCACGGTACTTCAAACAATCTTCTAGGACAATGGAGCAACAGTTCCAAAAGGAGACTAGGTTCTACAGCTCCTTAATAAGGTAGTTACTGCTGTTGAAGTTTTGAATGTAAAAGCTGTAAAAAATTGAAGCTGTTGACACAAAGCGCATACATTTGCAGATTGCAGCAGAACTGGAAAGTGAAGCGGCAGCGGGCTGTTGGGAGTCCAGGAAGTGAAGGCTTCATGTTTGATCTAGTTGATAGTTCTCAGCTAGACACAACAACAATGCCTCGGTTATCACCATTATCTTTAATTCCGATTGATCAAGACTCTTCAGGCACTTTGTCTGTACAAATACCACAGAAGTCTTTCCGTTCCTTGAGCCTTCAATTTCGTGGAGACATAGCCAATAATGCAGAAAGCAGTGCTATAAAAAAGAAAGAAGGCACGTTAACCAACACAACTACTGAAGCCAAAAAGGATGTTTTGGAGAATGATGATGTCAATAAGTCTATCAAACATGCACATTCCATCCTTCGTGACATCCACAGGTCCATATTTGAGGAGCAGGTGGGTTAAATGCCTATGATTTTCACACAGTCCTCTGACTAACTAGAGCACCATGTATAGAAAAGAACCATTGTAGTCTTCACCATGCTGTTTTCCTTACTTTTACCTGCACCATCGCACTTGATTTAGTGCATATCTCTTGTAGGTATTTGATATGGTGATCCGGGAGACATTTATCCAATCTCAAGGCATCAATGTTACTGGGATGTGCGAAGATTTTCTGCAATTAGCGATTGGCCAGGAGTGTTCTTTGTGCCTTTCGCTTGAGCTCTCTGGACAAAATAGTAACTCAGGAACAGTAGGGCAGGAAGATCATATGGATACAGATTATACTGGAAGTCTTGCAGTAGCCACTGTAAATGGGAAGGAGTCTTCAAATAAGGATGTGAGAGGGTTTCCTAACCCCAAATCCTTAGAAATTTACCTGCTACATATGTTCCATGAAAACATTCTTAGGAAACTCAGGGAGAAATCTCGTCTTATGGTTCGTTACCAGGGTTCTGCTCAGGCTGCACCTGACGATTGTGGCCTGCTAAGTCATTTTTGCATGACAGTGTCTCACAGGATATTTTCTAACAAAGTACATTTGGAGCTGGAAAGTGTGGTAGGACTACTCTACACTTGTCAATTAATATAATTTTATAGTAGACTGGCATTGTGACTTCCTTTCACTAATGCAGGTTAGTAGGGTTCCTTATCTCCATCTGCGTTCCCTTCCTACATGGCATTCTCGGACGTCTTCCTGGTCTCTCTGCTTGAAAGTTCCTCAGCCTACCCTGTCCACAGATCGAGCCAGAAAGCCTTCAGACCATCACGAGCTGAAGTACAAATCCAGGTCACAGTTTAGTACAAAGGTGATCTTGAAAGATGGCCAAATTAGTTTAATGGGTGAGGGCTCTCCAAGCATTGCTGGATCGTTGACTGGGAAGCCATCTGATGGACGTCTGATAAATAGTTACAATTGTGACTTGGAAGACCTCCCATTGATGCTTCTGCAGCAGGTGATGAAACGCTCCCCCCTCCCTCCCTCTTCTTTTTTTTTTTTTTTTTGGGGGTAGATCTGCACGATGGAAATTGGAAAATTGCTTGTCTACTTATTATTTCTTATATCTCAAGAAAGGTTTGCCAAAGAATATAGGGCCTGTTTGGTTGGGTGGCTAACCCCTGGCCTGGTTACCTGGAGCCAAGATGAGCTTGTTTGGTACGCTGTAGATGGGTTGGGGCCTGGCTTTGGGGGGCCATCTGTACTACTGTAGCCTGGCCAGGAAAGAACGAGATGAGCTTCTGTTTTTCTGGAGCCTGGCTTGGCCAAGCCTCCCTTGCGCGTCTCCTCACCGCCCCCTCTCCCCACCGCATTTCTTCAACCTCCCGACACCACCCGAGCCTGCGAGCGCGCCCGGCCCCGGTGGCCCTCCTTGTGCCGTCTCCGGCTCGCATCTGCTCCTCCGCGGCTGCGCCGTCTCCGGCGTCCCTCGCGCTGACCAGCACTGGGGAAGGGCGTGGGTGTCGGTTCTGTTCGGGATGGACGGAGCCGAGGCGGTGGCGGCTGCCGGGCCTGGTGCTGTGGGCCTGGGTGACCTGCTGGAGCACTGCGCCACCTCGACCCGCCTGCTGGCTCGCGCGGCTCAACCACGTGTTCCGCGGCGCGGCGGGAGCGGACTTCGTATGGGAGGCCAAGCTGCCGGAGAACTGCGCGGGTGCGAAGCCAAGCTACCTGATGGAGTTTCTGGACGTGGGCGTGAGGCTGTGCGGGCAGCGGCAGGGCTACGCGCCGCTAACACGGTCGGCCACGACCGAGAGCAATCCTGATGGCGTTTCAAAAAACGCCCAAAAATCGACTGAATCAGCCATCTTCTGCCATCTCTATCTCATTGGAAGAAGAGGTGACTGTATCAAAACAAACCAGGCAACCAAACACACTTTGGAGCTAGCCAGGCTACTATAGTACAGACAGCCAAACAACCAGGGGTCCATTGGAAGAAGAGGTGACTGTATCAAAACAAACCAGGCAACCAAACACACTCTGGAGCTAGCCAGGCAGCCAAACAACCAGGGGTTGGCTTAGTAGGAGCAGGCTAAGGCTGCCTAGGCTAGGATTCTAGCCAGGCTAGAAGTTGGCCAAGAAACCAAACGCACCCATATTCTATGCATAGCTCTAATGTTGAATCACTGCACTCTAATAATTGCTGCGTTATGCCCCTTTGTAAAACCTTTGTCCATTACCAGTTCCATGCAAATTCTGCAAACCATTTGCAGTGCTCAACCTTATTAGTTTGATAACTTATTATTTTGTATATCTGCAGGTTGCCAGTCAAGTAATCCACTGGCTCCATGATGAAGCAATGGTTCTTGGGATGAATGTGACTAGAGATTTCCTGTGCCTGTACTTTGATCTTGACCAAGGCGAAACACTTGGCCTAGTGGCACATGTTGATCCGGATGACACATATGGCTGCATCTCATGGTACCTCACTGTTGATCACCCAACGGAGGAGGGGAAGATGTCAGCGGATAGTCCAGAGTTAGAGAAGCGTAGGTTTTTGGGGTACCTTTCACTGGAAGTGCTTTACTCTACCCTGATGGACCTGATAAAATTGTGCAGCACAGGTGTCCAGCACTGAGACTCGGAGTGATCAAATTTGCGCCTCTTGATCGACATAAGTGGATGAAATGATGTATATTCGTGTTGTATTTGAGAGCATGTAAATTGAAGCATTATGTGTACCTGATGTGTTTGCTATGTGAACGATAATGCATCGCTAGCCTATTTGGATTCTTTGGTCTAAAGATCATTTGGCTAAAGTTGATGGCAAAAACTTTAGACCACTTTAACTCACGGGTGTGATCTAAAATATTTTTAGGTTGTCTAAACTTTAAACAAGTTTAACCCAAGGAACATCTTTCTAATTATAGAATTTATCAAGATGTTTGAGAAGCTGTGCTGAGTTTTGACTTTTAAGGTTGATAATCCCAAGACCTCATGCTACTAAAGGTTTCATTTTAGCATTAGTGTCGTATGTTACAGTCTTTATTGCTCCTTGTTCTTCCTTCAGGTCTGCTCTGTATTTTGTTGCCTGTTACTTCTCAAGGATAGGCTTTCAGGTATGTTAGACTGCCTCCAACAGCCTATGCAAAGGGCGAAGCAAACCCAAAATAGGTCGTGCATAGTGTTTTAGCTGAAGAAAACCGGCTTCAACAGAAGACGTAAACTGAGCATACATTTTTTGGTACGAGGCCAATTGGGACGTTTATTTGCGTCGTCTTTCTCCAAGACGCAAAGTCTTTGGCGCTCGTAGTGGTGGGCCCGTAGGAGGCGTCGGGTGGAGCAGTGGTGGGTGTCAGGCGGGGTGTGGCCGGCTCGGCGAGGCGAGCTCGCCGTGGGAGCACCTCTGGAGCCCCCGGCCTTGGCTGCCTCGCCGGATCTGGGACCGCTCTCCCGCCGCCGGTGATGAGCAGCGCCACATGGGGGTGGAGGTGCTCGCGCAGCGCTCGTCGGATCTCACAGGGAGGAAGGGAGGCCGTGCAGGGGAGGGAGCTCGTCGGCGAGGCTGGGAGGGAGGCGAGCGGCTCGGTGCTCGGCGGGGAGGGGGCGGGGGGGCGCATGCAGGGAGGCGGGCGGCGCTCGGCGGGGAGGGACGCAGGCGGTGCTTGGGGGCTCTTCCTTTGCCTTCGCTGGAGAAGGAAGGTTTTAGGTCGGTGACCCATTTGTTGTGCAGAACCCAAATCCTAGAATGGGTCGCTGTTTTAGGTATCAGCTGTTGGAGATAGTCTTAGCTACCTTGTACTGCTTGTTTTGCTCCTTTGGGCCTCTATGGTAGGGTGGCAAAAATTCTAGTACTCGTAATGTTGGTTCAACTGTTCTATTTTGAAAGTAAGTACTCCTAAATCTTACTCCTGTAATTCGGGTTAAGTCACCCGGACTGGACATAATAAAAGAGAACATTCGGGCGCCGTTCGGCTAGTTGAAAAACCAGCCGGAATTCACTGTTCACAGCTGAAATTCACTGTTCACGCTCTCACAAATTCCTCAAAATTCCTCCCAGCGAACAGGACCTCTGAGACCATTTTTCCAATCTTGTAGTTTGTGTCAGAAATAGTTTCAGTTGATTTGATTATTTAGTCAAATCTGCTATTACCAAATGGAAATTTTATTGTTTTACCTTTTTGGTTGTTTATGGCTCAGCAATCACAGATGACATATTGCTACTTATTTTAGAGCTATCATATACACTTAGCTGCTTTCATAGTTATTGAACAATGCATATGCTGCCATTTGTTATTATTTGCCTAATTTGTCCATGATCAAGGTTGAGAAAAAGTTTAAACTTGTACTCTTGGGTTTTGTGTACTACCATGCTTAGCAGACTAAAATCTTGAACTGATTGTTGTAAATCACTGCATATAAGATTTAGTGTGGTAATGTGTATCAATAGAAACAACTGAAAGCAAAAAGCCAAATCACCTTAATAGTTTGGTATACTAGTTCTGATTATCTGATCGCATTATCCTGTTCCAACTGCAGTCACTCGTGGATTAGTTACTATTTATCTATTTTTTGTTTCAAATATGCAAAAAGAATGATTCCATTCTTTAATATCACACCCTGCAGGGTGACTTATCCAATTCTATCTTTGTTCGGAAGACTCTGCTAAGGTCAACTTTGGAGCTAATTCATTCAAAGGTGATCTTTTGATTTTTTTTTCAAGCAACTTCTTTTTTTATTATTTTTTTGGTTCCAAATTTGATCAAGTATTCTGTGCTTCTTGAGAAACGAGTTCATTATTTTGCTTCATATATGTTCTAGAGTTTAGGTTCATGTTTCCGATGGTGTTATATAAATGAACTGATGTGCAGTAGTGCAACATTTAGGCAAAAGGTAAAACAGTGTATAGGTATAAGCATCAAATTGTTCTTTTGAACATTTATATACAGAGGTAAATTTTCTGAGTCATTTTTAGTAGTTTCTGGATTGAAGGTACTACACAATTGTTTTTTTTCACTTTTGTTTGAGATTTTTCTTTTCTTTCGTTCATTGGCATTAAGACCCAACCAATTCAAAAAGGAAGTCTTTTTTTCCTTTCATTTTGAGTATCCCTTCTTCCGGTGCTAGAGTGTCGGTGTTTCGAGTTGCCACCAACAAGTAAATTTCTAATATAGCACGTCTGGCTCGGATGGTGTGCTAAGAGGACACGAGGTTTATACTGGCTCGGGCAGAATGTCCCTACGTCCAGTTCGTTGCTGCTGCTCGTGTTACTAGCACTGAAAGTTCATAGTAGGGGTTACAAACGATTGAGAGAGGGACGGGTCCTAAGTCTCTGGTGAAAGAAATGAACGGGTGCCGAGAGCTCGGACGCTTCTCTGTTGTGTGCTCGATTCGAGTCGAGTTGATCCGATCTCATGCGATGCCCCTTGTGGGACGCACTGCTTTCTCTTTTATAGGCCAAGGGAAAGCACGGGTTACAGTAGAGGAAAAGAAGAGAACGAGGAGAAGTTCTTTAGGATCGCCGGGTCCTTCTCCTTTATGCGGGTCCCGCCGACCCTGTAGACGTCAACAGGGACAGCTTCCCGTCGCGGCCTTGTTCGTCACTAGCGCCATGTGCAAGCGTCATCTGCCGGTCATGGCGCTCCACTCCATCCTGGCGGACGTCGTGGCGGCGACGCGCCGCCGCGTGCGTTGTTCAGACGGGGTCGGCGTTCAGACGGGGTTAGCGCGAGAAGAACGGGTATATGCCCGATCTTTGGTCTGAGGCGCGCGCTGAACCCCTAGGTATGTCCCGTCCCATACGCTTGACCTGAAAGTGGTTGGCGGGTTACATCGAGGCGACGCGCTTTCTTCTCTGGCGTCGAGCTTTGACCTGAACCCATACGCTTGGACAACGAGACGGAGGCGGCGGTATGGGTCTCCGTCGAGCGAGACGGGGCCCCCGGCCTCGGGGTCGGGCGAGGTAGGGCCAAGCCTCAGGGGTCGAGCGAGACGGAGCGCAGACCCAGGGGTCGGGCGAGGCGGAGCGCAGACCCAAGGGTCGGGCGAGGCGGAGCCCATCCCAGAGGTCGGACGAGGTAGAGCCCGCGGCCTCGGTGTCGGGCGAGGCAGAGCTTGAGCAACTGGAGATCGGTCGGAGCTGTAGTCGCGCCCTTGACTACGAGGATGATCTATCGTCGATGACCATTAGTCCCTCCTCTTTGGGTACCCTAGTATTGGCCATTGACAGTAGCCCCCGAGCCTTCGGAGGAGTAGAATACTAATTCGGAGGCTTTTCCGAATGGGAGGACTCTAAGGGCCTTGGCCTTTTTTATCCACGGTGTGACCTGGGGATGGTGATTCCCTCTCATCGAGGTTGAACCCTTCGTGGGTATGGCCGTGAGATTTGGTGGGTTGGAAAAGGTCCTTCCTGATTTTTTACCCCCGCGAGGGTCCATCGTTCTGCGATCGTGCGTCTGGTCTCCTTGCAAGTCCAACTTTCCTCGAGCCCCCATGTGTAGCGAGGGTCTGGTCGAAATTTGACTCGCCTTTGTGATTATCACCCCGTCAATGGTTTCCGCAACCGGAGGGGTGAGCTGTGCCCTGATTTTTATCTATGGATGAGCCATGGTGCTCGGTGAACTATTAGCTGGTTAGTCTGAGTGGGTCCAAGCATCCCGTTCGTGGGGATCCGGCTAGGGTCAGCTTGGTGACCGACTTTAGATTCTCAGCGGTCAATCCATATAGTTCTCAAGTCCGTTCGACCGGTCCCGAGAGCTCTCTGCCTTTCTTCAGGAAAAAAACCATGGATCGTACTCGGTCGAGACTCGATCGTGGGCCGGGATGCCCATGGCACTCGTGTGCCTAGGTACTAGCCGCTTGTGGGCCCATCCCTTTCCATTCCTTACTCCAAGGGCGCCCGGAGCGGTTGTCAAACCCGTTGATGGGCCAACCTTCGAATTCCTGGGCCCAAGCGGACCGTAGAGGTGTTTTTTAATCCGTATTCCTCTTACTTGTGTCGAGTCATGGCCCGTCCAAAGAGGCGAAACGTCCTACGAGTTTTCAAGTGAATGGACAGAGATTGTGGGCGCACTTCCCGCAGCGAGATGTTGTGGCTGATCGTGGCAGGCGTGGAGATCCAGGCGGGCGATTGGTTTCCTTGCACCCGTTGCCCCTATAAAACCAAAGGGTTCGCCCCCCCAGGTTCTATACCTTGCATCCTTGCCTCCGCAGCCACGACCACCACCACCAATCGCCTAGGGTTCCCCGTCTTCGCATCCCCACCGCCATCAAGCCCGTATCCAACCATCCCCACCTCAAATGGATCCGTGGTGCCGTTCTGACATCACCTTCCAGCGCATGGAGGGCCTCATCCATCGCGGTCTTCTCCATGCGTGGACCTCGGCTGAGGAGTGGCTGCTGCCCAGCGAGGAGGATCTATCGTCGCCACCCAATGGCTATGTGGTGTCGTTTGCCCACTTCCATGAGCGTGGGTTCGTGACCCCCGCCCATAGATTTCTTCGAGGGCTGCTGTACTACTACATGATCGAGTTGTAACACCTTAATCCCAACAGGATCTAGCACATGGCGGCGTTCATCGCCTTGTGCAAGGGATTCCTGGGGATCAACCCCCACTTTGATCTATGGAGGTACTTCTTT